GAGTACCCGGCGCTGGGAGACCTCCAGGTGAGATGGATCTGGTAGTCTCGACCTGCTGCCTGGGTCCTCCTTCGCGTGGCTGTGCTGCCGGGGTTGCGACGCCGCATGGGCCGCCGCGGCTCCCGCGAAGTGGGGTGTCGATCCTGGCGTGGCCAAGGGGTGTCGCCTTGGTCCACGCTGCTGGCACTTCGGCTGGCTGCCCGAGTAGCTCTCCCACTCTTGCTGCAGCCTCGCCCCGTCGCGGTGCTGGTTGCCTGCCTGAACCCAGGTGGCAGTGGGGATCGCGGCCTGAGGGAGTCGCTCAGGTCCGCGCTTGGAGCGCTCAAACTTGGCGTCGCCGTCCTGTGGGTGGTCCCCACCCTTGCCCACAGTTGCGGCGTCTAGGGAGCTAGTAATGCAGGTGGTTCGTCTGCTGCGTCTTTTGTGTCGGGGCTCCCTAGTAGAGCGTTGGTGGCTTGAAGCGGATGCGGCATCCCCCAGGCTCGCATCGGCTTGGACGTAACTATGTAGTGTGATGGAAGCTAAATGCGATCGTGCGCGTGCGGCCAGGGGCCGTGGGCGGGGGTCGTTGGGCGTAGGCTCGTCACCGCACGGGTCTCTGAGTCTGGGCCCAATATCCCCGATGTCTTCTGGCGTGGCTGTCTGGGCGCAGGTCTGGGCCAGTTGCCCCCCAGCCTGCGTGCTCCAACTCAGTTTTTTGACAGTCGACCCCCGTCGAGGTCGCTCTCGCCGCTCTCGATGAAGGATGCCACCCTGTCGCCTGGGTCCGCGAAGCCATCGTCCGCGTCGCAGATCCTGACCTTTTTCGGCTGGCTCCTCGCCCTCCTGGGATCCCTTGGCTGCTTCAGGTTACCTCTGCATGGAGGTGCCGAGCTCGTCCTCTCTGGCGTGCCCAAGTGGAATCGCGGTGGTGGCAGCCGTGGCTCGCGTGGCACGGTGGGCGTGATTTCCTCAATCGGCATCCGTGGAGGTGTGCTAGGGCAGGCCTCCTCGTCGCGGCTGAGGTCGATGAACAGCGTCGTCATGGGGGTTTTGGCTGGCTGTGATCGCCGTTGTGGGGTCTTGTTTGGCGTGAGAGGCGTGACGGGCGGAAAAAGTATGTGGCTTGGCGTGGGCTGTTCTGTCGGGATGGGTGAGTCGGCTGGTAACGCTGGTGAGAGTGAGGCGAGGTCTGTCGGGGCTTCGTCCTCCTTCTCCTCGCGCAGGCCTTGGCAGATCTTCGTCTCTTCGTCCTGCAGGTCGGCGTCGTCGGATTCACCAATTGGGATGCAGTCGCTGTTCGCCCGTACGTCGAGCAGCCCCGAGTGCGAGATTGAGCCGACGCTGTTGTGCTCCTCGGTGTGCGGGCGCTGTTGAGGCGGCGGCGGTGGTAGCGGACACTCTTCGGCGGATGTCCTCGGCACGAAGCTTTGGTCCTGGAAGCTGAGGTCGTCGCACGACGAGAGGGTAGGCTCCTCTGGCGTTGGCATCGACGATGTATGAGACCTCTCTCCAAATCCCACCTCGGCCAGCTCCTCGAGGTACGGCGGTAGTTCTGGATGTGGAAGTTCGTAATGGCTAGGTAATAGCCGGAGTAGGTCTGCCTCCAGTTGCTCCCTCTGGTACGCGCCCTCCTGCTCCGCCATGCCTTGGTCGCGCTCGCTCGTGACTGGGTCTTCCATGAGGTCGTCCGTCATGTCGAGTAGCAGGTCCTGGTCCACTTGTCCTCCTGCTCCCCAGGCGTCCCGTAGTGCGTTCTGGAGTCCTGCCGTTTGCAAATCATGTGCGCGTTGGAGGTCTTGTAAATGCTGCTGCCTCTGTGCGTCGCTCATGTACTGGTTGTGGGCGTAGTGCTGCGTCACGGCCTGCATCTCCTGCTGGTGCCGGTGCTGCAGAGTGCTGTGGTACTGCTGAGCCACGTGGTTCTCCATCTCCTGCTGATGCTGTAGTGCCTGGAGCTCGCTTGTGGCCGCTGCTTGTCGCTGCAGTGCCACCTCCTCCATCCTTTGAGCTTTGTCCACCGCCTCCTGGTGCTCCCCGACGCGCACCAGGTACTTTTCCTGCTCGTGTTGCATCTCGTATGCCTTCGCCTGGATGGCTGCGTGCTCCAGGTTCAGGACGACCCGCATCGCTTCGCGCCTGTTGGCTTCTTCCTGGCGCTCGTAGGCCATCTGCTGGTAGTTCACTGCGATCCGCAGCTCCTCATCCTTGTAAGCGCTGCGACGGGCGCATCGCTCCTGGCATTCCGCCTCCGCCATCTCCTGCGTCGCCTTTTCATTGTGCTCCTGCGCCATCTTGCACCACTGGGCCTCCTGAGCCGCCATCTGTCTCACAGCCTGCTCTTCCTGCCTGACCTTCTGGACCTGCTGCGTGTAGATGGCTGCTCTTCTCTGGTCTTCCTTGCGCATCTCCTCGCGTAGTGTCTTCTTTTCCAACTCAAGATGCATTTGCAAGTCCACGAGCATCCCTTTGGCCCTTTCCTCCTGTGTCCTCTGGCTGCCTCTTTGTGCCTCGTATGCTTTCGCTTCCTCCTCCTCCAGCTTGGCGTTGTGGTGCCGCTTGAGCGCGTTAACCTCCCATGTGTGCCACTCCTCCTGCTTGGCCAGCTGCACTTCGGTCGTGTGGAACATATTTTGCGCCATGGTCTGCTCGTAGGCCTTCAGCTCGCTTTTGTGCTTGAGCTCTGCCTGTGCCAGCAGGTCACTTTGCTGCTGTTCCTTTTTCTGCTGCGAGTCGAGCCTCTCGGTCAGTCTCCTGATGGCGTCTTTGATCTCGTCTGGTGCTGCTGGGGCTGATCGTGCAGTTGTTGCTGGTCCCGAGGAAGCGCTCGCTGCTGTGGCTGGCTGAGCTGTGGCTGGTGCCGCTAGAGCTGCAATTGGGTCGCGCCTCCTCCTCGCGGCCGGGTGTGGCGCGCGTCCTCTGGCGGGGTCCTGGCTCCCCTCTTCCTCTGACGATTCCTCCTTCACGCCCGCTGACTTTGCCATTTGATCTATGGTTTCCCTCATCAGGGTCTTGTAGACCCTGGTGGTTCTGGCGGCCGCCGCCTCCTGGTCGAGCATCTTGCTGAGCCGCTTCTCCATCTCGGCATGCTCCTCCTCCAGCTTTTCCAGCGTAGCCCTGAGCTGCTTCATGCGCTCTTTGTGGGGCAGGGCGAAGGAGATGTTCGTGGCGGTGATCGCCGCTTCCTGCTCGAGGCTGGATGTGCACAAACCCGCCAGCCTAGCGCCAGCGATGTTCTCGGAGAGGCGTCCCAGCCTGTGGCACTTCGTCTTGTACCACACGAACCTCATCTCCTCGTCGTCTGGTGGTGCGGACCAGCTCTCATGTTCCATCGCGACGGCGAAGGAGACTGGCGTGATGCTGTCCAGGACTGCCTTTTGCTGAGGGCTGTACTGGAAGCTGCCGATGTAGGCTGAGGCTGGCGTGTCGAGCTGGTCCCTTCTTCTGCGCCTGCTGCTTCTCCTTCTGGCTGAGGCGCTCCTCCATGGCGCACTTTGCTTCCAGTGCTGGTCGCTGTCGCTTCGGTGCTGGTGCTGTGGGTGCTTTTGCTGGTGCTGGTGTTGGGCTGGCTGGTGGTGGTGCTTGTGGGTCTGAGGCTGCTGCTGCTGCTGCTGCTGCTGACTGTGCTGTCTCCTCTGCGAGTTGTGCTGCTGGCCATCCCCGAGGGTCCACTCCCAGGGTCGCCCTCCGATGGCTCCGTAGTCACCAGTCCAGTCATTGGCACTGCTGCTGCGTCTGCGCTGGCGCTGCGCCTGGGCTGTGGACCCTGCTCCTGTCCACCTTTTCCCAGGGCCGCGCCGCGACGCCTCGAGGTGTGTGGTCCCTGCTCCTGACCACCTTTCCCTCGAGGCGTCGCGCTGCTGTTTCCAGTTCTGCTCCATGGCGTGCTGCTGGTGGCGCTGGGGCTGCTGCGCGCTGTGGTGCTGCTCCAGCCTGCTGGCTGCAGCCGCCAGTCTTATCAGCAGCCTGTCTTGTCCTCTTTGGGTCCTGGCGCGGCGGTGCCAGGCTTCTTCCTTGGTCCTGGGCGTGGCGGTCGGGGTGACCGCCGCGGTTGCGGCGCCTCTTTGTCTTCTCTTTGATGGCTCCGCAGCGCGCGAGCCACGACCGACGGGGCGACCGACGACGAACGATGCCGCGACGGTCCCAGCCCCTCCTCGGCCGTATGGCTTATCATCACCTCCTCCTCCTCCTGCTCCTCCTCCTCCGCCTCCTCCTCCTCCTTCTCCTCCTTCTCCTCCGCCTCCGCCTCCGCCTCCCCCCTCTCCTCATCCTCCTCCTCCTCCTCTCCTCCTCCTCCTCCTCCACCTCCTCCTCCTCCTCCTCCTCCTCCTCCTCCTCTCCCCTCCTCCTCCTCCTCCCTCCTCTTTTTTACGTTAGACCGAACCTGAGGTTACCCTGTGGCGTTATCCTCCCCCTCCCTTCCTCTTCCTCCTCCTCCTCCCTCCTCCTCCTCCTCCCCTCCCCCTCCTCCTCCTCCTCTTCCTCCTCCTCCTCCTCCTCCTCCTCCTCCTCCCTCCTCCTCCTCCTCCCCCTTCCACCCAGCCAAACCCCCCACGGATCCAAGGGGCGATGATTGCCCCGTCCGGAATAGGAGGCAACATCTGGGGAGGTCTTCGCAATAATAAATTAAGGGATGCTAAGCCCGATTAGGGGGCCATTTAGCAAGACTAGCCCAGGTTAAGCCCGCAAAGTAAGGCGGATTAGATAGAATTGCGCGGAGCTGACAGGGATTATGCTGGGTCAGGCTGGTCCTCGACCACGGGTATGCCAGCGACGAAGCTGAATTCAATATCCCAGGATTATCGCCCCTCGAGAAGAGGATCGCCTACAGAATTGATTTATCCAAGGATTAGCTTTTCCGTCGAATCTACTGAAAATAAGTCGAATGCTTCATATATCGACTGAACAATGGATGCATGTGTTGCAGATTCGACGGACGAAAAACTTCTGGGGTAAATCAATCATGTAGTCGATCCCCTACTCGAACAGTCAAGGTATCGGCATGCCCTTCCCCCCTGGGCCTCGTGCAGGAGCCAGAACGTGTTCCCCCCTTCCACGTAGCAGACGCCCCGGCCCTCCTCCCCCAGCACGCGCGCCAACTCCGCCTCCAGGGCAGCCTCGCCGCCGCGCACGCCACCCCCGCTGGCGTCGTAATCGAAGAGGTCCACGAACTCCGCCACCTTCAGACGAAGCCAGGACGAGGATACTCCAGATTGCGTAATAAAAGGGAGGGGGTCTGGACCCTCCAAGACAAGCCATTCCAGACCTCCCCCGTGGGAGAAGCCTCCAAAACATCGTCCCAAGACCCCCCCAGGCCCTCCAAGATAGCCTGGAAGAGACCCCCCCCGAAATGAGACCCCCCTCCCTTTATTACGAAATCTGGAGTAGTCAATCGTCCCCACGACAGTCCAAACGCTAGAAAAAACACGGGCCACGCAGGGCTCGGGAGGGCCTTCGGGTCTCGGGCCGCTCCTCGGATCTGGGCCGGGGCGCCTGTTGTGCGTGGCCCAGGCTCGCCCTGGCCAGGGGGGCCCCGCCGCTCCTCGTGCGGCCCTCCCCGGCTGTGAACAAACCGAGAATTGATGAGATCCCGCGGCTCTGGCAGAGGCCTCGGGCGTCGCGGCCTCCTCAAGCCGTTCCCGAACGCTCTGAGCGCGCTGCCGGGGCGCACTGGGACGGATCGATCGTCGCCCCGGCCCAGCCCTACACCTCTCGGAGAGTCGGCACCGCGCAGCACTCCCGGACACGGGGCGGGCAGACAGTAGGGGGCTGGACCAGGAGAGAGACCCTCCACGAGAAACCCGACCCTGAGACCCCCCAGGACGCCCACTGATCTTTGGCGCTGGAGCCCCACGCGGTCCATGGCAAAACCATCGAAGCCCAGGAAACCCTGGGGCACCCCTGGAGGCTAGGAGGCAACTACTGGGAGGTTTTCGTCGGAAAGATTAAGGAGGATGAAGCCCAATTTGGGAGCAATTACGCCGGAGTGGGCCTCGGATTAAGCGGGATGAAGCCGGATTAAGAGGGTTAAAGAGGATTAAGCGGAATTAAGCGGGATTAA